GATTTTGACACATTGATATCTAGTTTCCATTGTTTGCAGTATGTTTCCACTGTGCGTATTGCATTTTGCAGACCATTTTTAGATTGTGATAGGAGGAGGAGGTCATCCGCATACATCAAACATGACAAATGATTGTTTACAAGTAAAGGGGGTTCATTATTGGATGATTCTATCTGGCATTTGATATCATTAATGAAAAGATTGAAAAGGAGTGGGCTTAAACCATCTCCCTGTCTGATACCCCTTTGAACTGGAAAGCTAGCAGTCAAACCACCTTTTAGTTTAACACAGCCAGTGGCATTCTGATAAATAGATTTAATTATGTTGTGAAATTTTCCTGAGATTTTGTTTTTGTGAAGTTTATATAAAAGACCGAGGTGCCAAATGGAATCAAACGCCTTCTTAAAGTCGATGAATCAGGCAAATAAATAGTTTCCTTTATTAAGATATTTTGTTATTAGCTGTTTGAGAACAAAGATATGGTCCGCTGTGCTGAATTTTGGAAGAAAACCAATTTGCTCTTTAATTATGATACCTTTGTTTCAATACGGCTGTGAATAGCTTGCTGTGTGATATCATTGTGATATCATTGTCAAGTTTAATGTGTTTTTGTAATGTAACTACACGAGAAAGATTGTCAGCGCCTTCAAATTTGGCACATTTATTCACTATGTGATTTTCAATACTGAGTTAAATTTTTAAGAACAGGTTACCAGTCAAGTTTGCAGCATACATTCATATGTATGTTCACAGTAGAGTTTCAAAGTTACATGTGATGTGAATGACCCAGTTAGATTTTTAGTGGAAAGGTCACGGTCCGATATCACAAATTGGGTGTATGTTATGTATATACTGCCTTCAAACTTTAAACACATTTTTCCATGCAATTACTTGCAAGAACCAGTTAGCTTGTCAGAGCAAAAAGGTCATGGCTAAAATACAGAATTCAAGATATAACACTATAATAAGCAAAAGGACATTTGGGGGGGGGGGGAATTTGGAGGTGTTGCTGTCTTTTAAGAAAACTATTTTTAACAAGTTTTGACATATATATATATGGACTTGGCGTTTTTGCTTTTTATTTAAATTAGGAATATTAAAATAAACCATCTGATGTAATAGATTCATTTGTATTTTCGTTTCTTTACTTTTTGTTAAGTTCAAGTAGTATTTTCCAAAATTTTGATGGTACACCTTTCATACTCTCGAGTTCATTTATTGGCATGATTTCTAGTTCTTTTCTCTTTTTTTAAATACACATTATATATTTTATATTTCATTAATATAGTCATGTGTTGTTGGTTAATTTCATCGTATGTGTTGATTAATTTCATCCATTATGGTATTATTTAGGTTGCTAGTGCAGCTATTGAAATTCCCTAAAAGTAAAATTTCTCCATGGGAATAGAATTTGGTGATTTTGTCTTCAAGTTTTTGAAATAAATCTACATTCATGTTTTTTGTTTGTTTGTTTTGGGAGGGGGCTACATATGTAATTTACAACCTACGAATAGATGTTTTTCAGTATCAAAAAGTTGTTTATCTTGTCTACACTATAGAAAATTATCACTTGATGAGCTACTTAAGTGTTTTTTTTATCAACCTTTACAGAAGACAGCAACACTTTGTTGTTTGGCATTGTAACTTTGATGATCTTGACACATAGTCAAAATTAGACAAGTTATTAATACTACTGTTATTATGTTCCCATGTGTTTTGTGGACTGACCAGATCATATGATACAAATTTGGCCGGGTATCCATCTTTTTGGACTAGTTCAATTTTTTCATTGATAGCTCTCTATAGCTTTGAGACGCTAAGTTTCATAGTTTTCTCAATTATTTTCTCACTATTACTAAAGTATGCATTCATTTCTTCTTTAGTGGCGACTTGCAAGTGATTTTTTTTTTCTATTGCATCAAAAATGGCAGCAACTAATTACTTCTGTTGCTGTGGAACTGGTTGATCTTCTGTGAAATTATACTTTCCTCATTGTTAAGTCAATCAAATTGGGCTGCATGTTGTATGGCATCATCATTACTGGGGGTGCATTTTGCAATCAGTTGTTTTTATAAACATTTTGCCTTTTTCCCTAGAGATGAAACCTTTGAATAGTGCAATTGAAAACCTGATTATACTTCTATGGCATTCTTCCCAAAATTCAAATATTCCAAGTGAAAGATCCTGGGCCACTGCATAATAGTTTAACTGTTTTTCTTTCTTTCTTTCCTTCTTTGTTTTAGTGATGCTGCCCTTTGTTTTCTCTGTGTTGATAGTAGCGGTATTTTTTTTTGTCAAAGTGTTCAATGAGATATTCTATGAATCTGTTGATATGTTTTATATCAAGTTGTTCATACCTACTGTGTGGTTATTATTCAATCACTTTCGAAATTGATGATGGGTTACACAAGTTTGCTTTGTGATTTGATTTAAGCTGCTTAACTGGCAGCTACAAGGTTCATTGGTTTTATTCTCAGGTGTCCTTAACCATTTTTCAGACATCCTTTAACTGATTCTAATATTTGTTTTGTTATTTGAATCAAAATTTCAACTGGTTTGTGTGTGGATCATACAATTTTGTACAATATGATCTGAAAGGTGTCACCTGGATCAGGTGCCAAATAAGGTATGTACATGTATATTAACTACAGTGTAATTCATTACAATACAATCCTGACTAGTAACTTACTCAAATAACTGCGCCCATTCAGCACAACTTAATTTCAAGCCTTGACCCATTTCTACAGGCAAAAAATATAAAACTAGTCATTGAGACAGTAACCAATCATACACTAATAAGGCCAAACAAAAAAACTAGATCTGTTTATCCTGTCAGATCAAGATCAGTAAATATTCCAAAATATGCAAACAAATGTTCATGATAAAAATGTTGCAATAAAAAAAACTTAATTTTCTCAGTTATATTGAACACAATGAACTGTTTTCAGCTCTTAGACAGGTACAACTCCTTCATTTCAGGATACAAAGTCAATTTTACCACATTGGTAACACAAATGTAGTTACATGTCATTACGCAAAATAATTTTCTCAGATTGTTATCAAACACAATAAATGTAACAAAACAGTGTTAATTTGCTTTTTGATACTTTTTTTATTTTCACAAAATTATACAGACTCCAGGGAGGGCACCGTTGTCAAATATATTGGACAGGCCAAGTATCATCATTGTTGTTTCTTTAGTGAATATGCAAGACAGATCAATATCAAATGAATCAGTACTATGATAATGCATGCATGTGAACCTACATGAATATGGGCTACTTAAAATCAATTAAATGTAAATGGACCACAATCATTGGAAATTTACAAACAGAAAACCATCCATGTGGGTTAATTGTATTTCTATAGAATACAAATTTGAATTTATATTCTGCTGTCAACCACATTTAACATTACGTAATATTATATTTACATTGAAAAGAGTCAAATGAAAAGGCACAAGTTGGTTATTATTGATGACTACCGTAATAAAAGATGTTTAATTAATATACTATTATAATAGAGACTATAGTATATGCCTACCTTTAACTACATCAGTTATAGATGAATTTTCATTAGCCCCCAAATAATTTGAATATTCTTGTACTGATGATTCTGACACTGTTCCTTTTTTTGTTTTCGTTGGAGTAATCAGAGCTATATTGTCTGCAACAACAGATGCACAATTGTATGAAAAAAAAAGCTGCATGTAACTGAGAGACGAAAGTAATTATACAACTATAGTTTTGTTGGTCAAGGTAAAAAAGTTGTACCAGAGGTCATTAATTAATGTAGGACAGTATGACAAGGTCATTCGTAGACTGTCGACAGTCATCGGGCCTAAAGTAATTGTGCTTTTTAGACATTCGAACGTCATAGACATTTGATGGGAAAAGCCAAACATTTCACGCAAGGGACTTTAGTCCCGAGAGACTGTCCCCGTCTGCAGGTTTCTATGAATAATTCATAGTTTATGCTGACATTACGAAGTAAATTATATTAACATAATGTATGCAAATGTATTCTAAATGACCCCCTGAATGCATTTGTTGTCTGCGTTATGAACACAATGAATACAACTCAGGAAGAAATTTCAACAAACTAAGCGAGAGTTATTGGAAAGATCGCAGACATTTTCATCTAAGAAAATGGCAACTGAAAGTGGGGGATCCCTGGTTTCAAAAACAGTTCGTTTTGACAAGATGTATGTCAACACGGCACGCTGACGAACACATCTCTCCCTACTTTGTAGTTTGCGATAGCGTCTCGCTGGAGTTCTTTGCAAGCAATATCATGGCAGTGTAAATGTTCCAGCACTTTTATGATGCATTCATCAAGATTAGTTTGTGTCATGATATCAAAAACTGCTGTGCAAAGTGTCACGATCGCGTATAGTACAGTCAAAACAAACTTCGCGCAAGTCGGATCTGGTTAGAAATCTTACCAGTGAATTGCAGCACCGGACAGTCGGTCATGTCTAACGACACTCCATACTTCCTGTATCTGCGTTTGCAATTTATTCACGCCTATAGTACGTTTTTACACAATATTTATTAATAATAAAAGATGAATATTAGGTACGACCGACTGTCAACAGTCTAGGTCATTCGCTAAGCAATAGCAAACCAACAATGTAAACTACATGTATAAGTCAAACTCAAAAAATATTTGTTTTTAGTAGCTGGCAAATAAAATACTATATAATATTTATTTGTTTTTGTATATAATTAACAAGCGGCTTCTTGGCTGAGAGAGCTCCGCTGTTAGCAATGCACATTTCAATTAGAGAATTAAAGATGTCATCATGAAATGAATAAATCTGAAAGAGGTGCACCTGAGGTACCTACATGCTTAATATTAAATCAAAAATATTTTATCAAAAATGAGAAAAATATTCATCAAAATTAGGGAATTAAAAATATCAACAGAAATGAACAAATCAATCAGAGGTCCACTCAAGGTACATATACACCAAGTATTAAAGCAATCAGACAGTGGTTTTCAAGAAGAAGTTGAAAAAGTAAAAAGTTGACGTAGACAATGACGGACAATCAGTAATATGATTAGCTGTGCTCAACGAAGTCGACAGCAAAGCTCATGAAGATGTCAAAAATGACATACAATTAGTTTGTCCAAACTCTTACTATAAATGGACTAGATCACAACACTGATGGGTGACATTTATTGCTTATTTGCATAATAAATGAGCTAATCTAGACAAAATAAATATTCAAAATGTTGGTAGGTGAGATTACACAAAATGGTGAATTATGTTTTTTGGCCTATAATTAATCAACAAACCTGCTTCATCACCAGTACGCTTCTGTTTGTTTATACCAGTCACTGGTCCAGGTGGAATGAATCCATCAGCCTGGAAGACAATAAACTGCTCAATACATACATGATCAAATATTTCATCTTTCAAAATAATAATACTTCATCAACCATCATTCAAAGAGCTTAAAAGTAGCTCCCAAAGGCTGTGATGCTCATGATGATCATACTACATATTTACAGATTATATAGCTTCAAAACATATGAATATTCTTGTTAAATGACAGACTTACATCAGGTTCCATTGTATGGATATCACTTGTTTCATTTTGGTTGAACTCTTTCAGAGTTTTTTCTTCTTTATACATTTGGGGGCTCAAGCTGCAAATAATATAATTCAAAATAAACAAGTCATTGTCAGTGACACGTCCCCGTTCCGTTCATATTTGAGTGACATATACATTCAAAGCAGATCATGACCGAAATGCACCTGCATACATGTATGTACAACACATTGTACTAAATCTGAACAAAATCGATCCATGCATGACTGAGATCCGGTTCCGGAATTGTGAAAATGCGTGATTTTGATGCATTTTCGGCCTTAAAATGGCCATCATTCAGCTATTGTTAAGTGGATCATGAAACAAATGCACATATCTATTTGTGACATGATGTACCATGTGTGTGTGAAGTTTGAACTTGATCAATCCAGACATGTCTTGGATACGGATCCAGAACTGAATTCTTTAACAAAATGGCCGGCAGACGGCCATTTCAAACTTAATCCGAAAAAAAAATGACGTGCATCAAGGTCCTATTATGTACCAAATTTGAACAAAATCTGTCCATGCATAACTAAGATCCGGGTCCGGAATGGTGAAAATGTGCGATTTCAATGCATTTTCGGCCTTAAAGCGGCCGCCATTTGGCTATCGTTAATGAGATCATGAAACAAATGCACATACATATTTTTGACATGATGTACCCTGTGTGTGTGAAGTTTGAACTCGATCAATCCAAGCATGTCTCAGATACGAATCCAGAACTGAATTCTTTAAAATAAAATGGCCGCCAGTCGGCCATTTCAAACCCGATCCAAAAAAAAATGACGTGCATCAAGGTCCTATTATGTTTAATGTATGTACCAAATTTGAACAAAATCCGTCCATGCATAACTGAGATCCGGGTCCGGAATGGTGAAAATGTGCGATTTTGATGCATTTTCGGCCTTAAAATGGACGCTATTCGGCTATCGTTAATCCGATCATGAAAATAATGCATGTGCATATGTCCCATATAATGTGTGATGTATGAGTGAAGTTTGAACTTAATCGGTCCATGCATGTTCGAGATACAGGTGATCACGGACGCACGCACGGACGCACACAGGGCAAAACATAAGTCCCCGTTTTCGGACTACGTCCGAACGGGGACTAAAAACAAATGTTGATTTGGAGGAAATAAAATATGAATCCAAAAAAGAAGCTTGGCAACTGATATTTATCTGCTATTTGAGATGTACAATGTGAAAACAATCAGGTCTACATTATTTAAGTTTATAATACTTGAGATAACAGCCAAAAATAGACTAATCTTTATGCAAATTAGATGATTGATATGCAGATTTTTCATTCAAAACTGATTAGGCATGTGCAGTCTTAAAAAATCTATGTACTAAGTTTCATTGAAATGTAATGATTAGGACTTGAAATACCAGAAAAGCCAAAAATTTACTATTTTGCAAAATAGGTAATTAACAAGCCATGCATGGCACAGTCCCCGTTACTTATCAAATTTAAGTTATATAGTTTTGTTTATAGTAATATACCTGGAATATAACCATGTCAGGAATATGATTTTTTAACATTAAAATGATTGACATTTGTACCTGATCGTCAAACAAGTACTTGTCCATATTGAGAGATATTGCTCTGGCACAGCAGCATTCCCACTGTCTTTTTTAACTGAGGGTATATGTACCCTCTATACAGAAAACTGGAGGTATAACACACATTTTGGGGGTACACCTGTACCCTCTACATCAAAAATTGGGGGTATTTCTAGGAGGGCCAGTATTATTCATCTGCACTGGGAGTGGTTGTTGTAGCACAGAATAAAGATTATACACAAGATTTCACAGAATTTATTTATTTTGCAATTCTCATTTTTAGACAAATTTACACACGGTCTTCATGAAATTTTATAGCTGCTAATCTGACAACCTCATCCTGATTGTATCCTGGTTGCTTGGATGCATACTCAATTATCATTCTATGTTCAACACTGTCAGTAGTTCTTC